CAATTACATTCAAAAATATGTTCATTTAAACCTGTGTCCTTTAATTTCATCTTTTTCATATTTTAGTATTAAGTATGACAGAACATACATTTGGTGTTGAATAAAATATTTGGACAATTTTTAAAAATTATTTAGTTAATTATTTTATTATAATATTGTATATAAAATAAAAAAAATTATAATTTTATTATGAGCCACGCACAACAACACCTAAATCACCCCACACAAATTACCTTTCCCGCCCACCGAAATATAAAACACAATTTAATACAATATCATCAGTTAGTATAATAGCTTTTTTTATTTGAACTGTTTATCTTAAACATAATACAATTAATTCTTACAACCTACTTATATAGTTAATTCCTAACACTACTTATTTTCTATAAAATAATCTGTCATATCGGTATACATATCCAGAAGGTAATATAAGTCCTTTAAATCTTCCTTGTTTTGAGATGATAGAGTTTCATAACAAATCCATCTTTTTCGCATAGTTGAAAGAACAGGATCAGAAGATAGAAGTAAACTATTAAAAATATCTTCATTCTGTGATTGCCTGGAGCATTTTCTTGAGCTGAATAGTTGAACATGCTTAAAGTCTCGATTCCTCGCTTCCTGGGCTTCTTCTGTTAACTCTCCAAGTGGAAGAATATTCGATTCAATTATTATTTGACCATGACACAATACTTTGTGTACTGTTGGTGGATACAGAGATACAAGTAATTTAGAAATTTCAGATGTGTATTCCCCAAATCGATTTTCATTAATTTTATGTTTACTATTCAGTGCCATTAAAATAGTTTTTAACTCTTCGAAGCAACTCCTTGTCGATTCCAGTTATTTTTGAAGTAATTTCAAAATCACGAAAAAACCTTCTCGACGTATTACCGTCATTTGTACTACCGCAACTTGAAAGAGGTTTGTCGATGTTTAATCCCATCTGAACTTTAAATTCTTCTTGGATTCTGCTTTTTTCCGCAGCTCTCAGTTCTTTCAATTCTTCTTTATTTTTTGTTGATTTAGTAGGATAGTTTGTTTTTTTTTCCTGGATCGCCTTGTAAGCGCTATTGCTTCCTCTTCAGTAAAATTTGATTATGATGTTGGAGTTGGTATACTTTCCACAATTCGCTTAAGTCGTTTTGGTGATGCATTAGGAAGAATAGTTGCAATATGTACGACATCCATATGTTGGTTTTCCTTTTTCAGCATTTCGTTAAATGTATCAGCAATTTCCTCATTTGAGATTGAAAAAAGTTTTTGTGTGACCCTCTTTTTTTTTACCTTGAACATAAGTCTTCGTATGACTTGCAAGGCGCTCCTATTGATGTGTTGTAAGTTGAGATTTCCGTAGTAGTTTCCATCCAACTACAAAATTTTAATCGAAATTTCTTTTGATTTCCATCCACAGACTTACTTTTTACATCAAAAAGTTTTAAAAAGTTTTCAATTTTTGATATTCCTGTTTTGTCTACTTTTCTACTATATGTAGTTTTTATATAATTTGAAATGTCTTCAATTCTTTCTGGCCCTTTTGAAGATATACTCCATAAAACGGAACACAACTCTTCGTACTTTAATGTAATCTTCATTGTAGATTTATTAAATATGGTACTTAAAATCTGAGAAGTTTATTTATATACCAATTCTTGTCATTTCCGATACAGGTATTCCAAAGTAAAAAATTACGAATTGTCTACCTATTAACATTTAGGACTATATTACTATAACCTGTAATTCAGTCATTGATATTTCTTATTAGTGAATGAATCGAAATTATCATTACCTGTATATTTTTACCTACATGATCATAAACGAAACAGAACGAAATGATCTGTCGAAAAAATTTAGGTAAAAAATAGTTATAAATTTTTGAAAATTTAAGCATAATAGGACCTTTCAATTATAAGGATAAGCAAACAAATAGAAAATAGGTAAATATAAGATTTAAATATGTGCTGTCATACTTAATACTAAAATATGAAAAAGATGAAATTAAAGGACACAGGTTTAAATGAACATATTTTTGAATGTAATTGAGATATTGGCTTGAAATTTTTTGTAAAGGGTCGAGAATTTCCATATCTAACTAAAAAATTATATTAAGGGATAAATATGGACTAAATTGTTGTAGCTATCTGCGATCCTATTAAAATTTTGATATAAATCATAGTTTTAGAAATTAAACAAATATGTAATATATGACAAAATCTTTATTTATGAACAAAACTCAATGAAATTTTCAACGCTTGTTAAATTTGTCATTTCAACTAAGAATATGCAAAAAAATAAATTGAAAAGGTCAAAGGGCATCCCGCAATTCCCGAAAATAGGAATGAAAATCCCAAAAATGGGATTTTTTACTTTTTTGCCCATAGGGTCCACATTTCTTTCAGGGCTGGGAAAATACTTTTGAAGTAAATAGAAAACATATTGAGGTTTCCAAAACTGCTTTCAGTTTTCTGATCCCAGCTTTGGGATTTTAGAACATGTCGCCCAAAGTTGAAGTTTTGATAAAAAATAGGTCATATTCGGAAGGACGCAGTGGCAACATTTTCAAAAAATAGGACAAGTTTTTTACGCCAAAGCGTTCTGCGTAAAGATACCTTTTAGAAAACTATAAAATTGTTATATGTTCTTAATAAAAATTTTATTTTATTAATAAAAGAGTTAAGACACATTTTTGGCAAAAAAACGCCAAAAATCTAAAATTTTTTGAATTTTTAAATTAAAAAGCGTATATTTTTGGATCTGTAAACGATATTGATCTGAAATTTTTTGTATATTATTGGAAATTTTGTTGTCTAACTAACAAGAAAAAATTGAGTCCATTTGGTCCAAAATTACGCCCGGTATTCAAAAAAAGGCGGACCAAGGTATGGTAAATTTTGTATCACTAAATTTTTAAATGCCTATAACTCGGATATTATAAGAGATAAGTAGTATGTCCAAGCATGTTTTTTCAAGATCTCGTCGAGCGCTTTCACAAAATATAAAAATCTTTGTATTTGGGTGAAAAACAAAAAAAGGGCACGAGTTTAAAAATTTTACATGTCGTAGGTACCCTACTTTGAGCCGCCACAGCGCCGTCCCTGGGGCATCTGCAGGGTTCATCTTCAAAACTTAAACTCGAATACTCCTTGGCTACGCTCACGCCAAATTTTATCCCGATCGGATCAGCCGTTTAGAAATGCCAGATTTATTTCCAAAAAATTTCCATTCTGCCCCACTGTGCAATGACACGCTAATGTTAAAATCATGCATCTTTCCCCTAAATATGAACCAGTTCATTATCAGTTCAACCCATGCATTTACTACTTTTTTTGCACGTCTTTTTTTGCTGGGAACTTCAAAATTTTTTTGCTGGGATGTGCTGTTAGTTTCATTGCGTTGTGTATTTTGTTTTGTTTTTATTTCGTTTAGCGTTGTTGTTCTTTCTTTTGGTTTGCTATTGCTTAAGTAATGATAGAGTCGGGAAAATGAAATAAATTGAAATTTTATAAAATTAATATTTTTTAAACACACTATGGTGAAGTAATATTTAGCAAAGACGAATATAGAGTTGTTACTTTTATTACACCGTGCAACAGTCATTTTCACACACAAAAAAATCAATGTGTACAGCATAGCTCTTAAGCCCCAGTAAAAGGACCTTAAAGTTTAAAGGACATACGATTTCAAAAGATGGAATTCCAAACTTTTATAAAAATTTTGTTATTAATATAAATAGTAACTATGCATATATGTATAGAAAGAATAAATAAAATAAAAAATAAATAAAGCTGTGAACCTCTGCTTCAAAATAATATTAAAGAAAAGGAACCTTAAAGAAAATTTGTCGCAAAAAAGTAGTTAAGAAAAGGAACATTATTTATTTATAGATATTTTTTATATATTTCATTTTGTAATATAAATATCTATGAATTTGACATAGTTTTTGCTACAATGTAATTACTTTCCCAGCAAACAATAATTGATGTCATACTTTACAAACGACATCTTAATCACATCTAAAAATGCGATTGCATACTTTTCGCGTTTATAAACCAAACATATACTTACAAATTAAAACACAGTTAAAAATGAGAAAAGAGATGTAGAAAAGTCACTACAAACAACATATTCGAAGTACTTCAAATTTAGATGAAAAACCAATGAAATGTACATAAGCGTTTCATTGAAAGAATGTGGTTTATTTTTGACATACAAATATCGGATTTTTACAGCTTCTAAAGATAAGATTAGATGTAGTTCAAAGTTGTCAAAAATGAATAACATCCCTCCAATGACACGCTAATGTAAAATTCATAGGTTTTTCACCTGAATTTGAAGCACTTCGGGTTACTAGTTGTGATGAAAATTCTACATCTTTTTCCAGACTTTTTTTGCTGGGTTGTAATACTTAATTTGGCCAGAAGGCTTTTGTATTATTAGTTGAATAAATAAATAAAGAAAATTTGTCGCAAAAAAGTAGTTTAAAATGTTTGTTCCGAAAATGAGACATTTTTTAAATTATATTTCTTTTTCGATTTTTGGTCTAAGTGAGTCAAATAAATAATATAGATAGATATAAATATTTAAAATATTCGTTTGAAATTGTAAGTCCTTTAAATTTGGAAGTCCTGTTATAAGAACATAAGAGCTGATTACAAAAATCGGAGTACGCAGAACTGCTATAAATGGAATATCTTTCACATGCATATCAACTTTTCTATGTGTGAAAGCTTTTTTCAAAATTGTAAAATGTAAACTTCTATAAATAGCTTACAAGTGAAGGGTACATAAGATTCGGCATAACCGAATATAATATATAACATGTTCTACTTATCATTGGTTTATTGAATGCATTTTAAGCTATTTGACGTTTATGAATACGATTTTCTTGGATTTGGCTTAAAATGGTTAATAAACCCAAAATAAGTTTTTAAGAACACAACCGTATTCATATACATACATATATAAATGTATATTTAATTCTGCTTTTCCTATTTTCTAATACAGTTTCTGCACTAAGTGTTGAAGAACTAGAAGCTAGAATGCGCAAAATGGACTCAGGGGAAATAGAAAAACCTAAAAGCGGTAGTGTTGGTCAGAACTTGCACAAAAATGAGGGTAGTCAGAATATAAGATCTGAAATCGAAAGTGAATCCGAGGCTTCCCAGTCGACCGAAATAAATTCACAGGACGTAGAAGCTTTTCGAAAATTACTAGACCAACTTGGCAAACCTCGAGTAGATATTTCAATGAACATTGTCTTGCCAAATACGTCAGGACAACAACATTTATTAACTAATCCCGTTGGGGGAACATATCCCTCCACTGGTATATCACCAATACCACCCAATTCATTACCCCAAGCCAATATGGCCAAACAAGAATATATGATGAAAATTATGCACCAACAACAACTTCTACATCTGCAGCAAAATGTGGGTAAAATGGTAACACCACCCGTTCTTCAACATCACCATAGACTAACACAAATATCTCCACAACAACAGACTGAAAATTTGCCTTTATTATCAGCACCACCAACACCCCATCATCAACATTCTCATTACATGCCAATAATAATGGGCCCTCCGCAAAAGCGACTTGATGTGCAACATTTAATTCAGTGTAAGTACAGTCGCTACAAGCCAAACACGGACACTTTAGTAAAAAAATAAAAAAATGCAATTGTTGTTCGATTTCCATACAGTATATTTATAATTCATTGTTTGTATTTTAAAATAGCCAAAAATCTTCAACTACTTCAGAAAAAATGCACAAGCCACTCTCGGACACATTCAAAGATTTATTAATTTTCTTGTTGTAAATAAAAAATAAATGTTAAACATTTAGTTTTTTAGAATGAATTAGAGTCTGGGATGGAAATTACAAATTTCTGACAATAATTATGTTTAGAGAATCCAATAATTTCATTTTAGAAATCGCGTCAGGACTCAACAAAGTGGGGAACTTTTTACAGCAGCCAGGATCGCACTTTATGGTATTTGTGCCTTTTCACCATTATTGTGATGAACGTACCATCTAAATATACATATATTGTTGTCCATAACCCTATCAAAAAAAAAAAAAAAATAAATAAATAAATAAAATGAGGCCCAAATCAGCAGTGATCCATCCCAGCAATGTACGGTCCGTAAGTTTTTCAAATCTAACTCCTGACTTGTTTTTTTTTCAAATACCAAATCGACCATCCGCTCCAAATATATTACAAAATAAAAAATTTTTTTTATTTCCTTGTAAATTTAAATCTTTTATGCCATTATATTTTCTGACAATAAGGAACAAGTATATACATAAATATACTCTTAATTGACAGGGTTATGTACAGACTATGTATTCAGGAATTTTAAATAAAAATTTGACAACAAGTTTTAAAAAACATTACTTACATACATATATCACGACAATGATCCAAATACACAAAGACCACAAACTTTGATGTTAGCTGTTGTAAATCCTCTCAAACTTCATGAAAACATTAGCTATGAGTCTTATCATAAATTTTAGGAAGAAATTATGGGATCCTCTTAACCAAAACTATTTTCAGCAAATCTCAGTTAAATAGGGACTAAAAAAATATGAAAAATTCTGCATAATTATTGTCAAAAATTTGTGATTTCTACCCCAAACTGACTCCAAATCGTTTTAAAAAATAAAATACTTAAAATCTAATATTTATCTTTTAATTACAACAATAATAAATCTTCGATGCTGTCAAAATTTGGCTTGTACATTTTTCTGATGTAGCTGAAGTTTTTTAGTATATTTTAAGTTTGTTTTATTATTCAAATTTCACAAGATTTGCCATAGAATTGATATTACTTATTAAACACTGATTTGTTCAAAATATATTATAATTAGTTTTTGAGTGTTTATTTATGATAAAAGAAATCTTTTTATTTATCTAAAAGTAAACTAAAATAAAGCTTAGTATATTTAATTTATATAAAATTATCACTATACCTAGCGGTTGTACGAGAAGAACTATCAAGAAGCTTTTTGGAAAAGGAGTTAAAGAATCCCAATGTTCCCCCTTACACTAAAGATGTAATTTCAACAGTATTAAAGGAAACATCGCGATACAATTTACAATCTACAGCTGGAGGCGGTCAAAATGCACCTGATTCTGTGGAAGCAGGAGTGGCCAATGATATTTGTGCTGCACCTAATAATCTAATGCAATGTAAGTAATTTTTTCTTTTTTCTTACTGATAACAAAAAATGGGAATATTTATAAACAAAATGTAATCAATGAACATAAGAATGATAATTTCTTTACATAGAAACAGCATTTCAAATTAAAATGTACAAAAAAGTATTACAGCTTAATTACAATTGGAACCACACTCGCTGTCGACAATGAGTTTTCATACATTTTGTATGGAGAGCATAATATCGTCTTGTGGTTGGCGATATTGTGGTTGATATAGATTCTATTTTATTTTTATTGCGCTCTTTGGCGATCCTCTCATTTTTCTCTAATTTTTATGTTGTAGCGTTGCCATATGTTCCCCCCCGGGGCATGTTTCCTTGATGAAAAAACTTCATCTTGGTGTATTGCAATCCCGGGGTATAGAGGTGTACCAATACCACTAGTCTACCGGGACTATAAACTGGTGATGATCAAATGTATCTTCGGCCTTTCCTTCGAATGATTTGACATGGGGTCTAATCAGAGTAACATATAATCTGGCAATACGGGTGGCCGGTTGGCCATAGGACCTAGTCCTGACCGGTCAATTGGTTAAGGTTCCTTCGGGATCCACGTAGTGGCTGTGGTTTATGGCCAAATTCGGAGAGAATGTTGGTTTAACTGATATATTCAAATGCCATATATGTCTCTCTCCGGTGCTGTTGCCATCTCAACAGATGTCACTGGGCAACTTATGCTGGATTCCTGAACCCGTTGAGTATCTCTTACTCTTGGCCAGTATATGTTGGAGAATTTTCATGTTGACACTTGGTAGTTGCCTGTCTTTCCGTAGATCGGTTTTGTGGTCTGAGAATGGAACTGATGTAATTGGTGAACGATCGGGAAAGACTCCTCTGCCCGACAGGAGACTAGTACTGATTTAGTAGATCTTTTACTTCAGGGAAGTTCTCGGTGCTGTTGCCATCTCAACAGGATTCATATTGTTTCATGCTACGCGACATATGGTTGAGGTCCGTTCCCACAACTCGTCGGGGCAATTATTGGGTACGAATTGATTTTGGAAATTTCTACATCCTTTGTCAGATTATCTGACATACAGAAGGATCATGATTTATGAGCTGGATATTTCGGGCTACCAAATACGCTTCTAGGTGCTGTTGCCAAACCAACAGAGCCATCTCAGTAGTGTGGTTGTGCGAGCTTTATGAGGTTAAGGAATGTACTGGAATTGGTCATTAGTTGATGGGGATTGCATTTTAAATAATGCAATCTTTCATGACATCATAAGAGTGGTCACCTTCCGGTTTATCGGAAGATTGATTTCACCTGATGTTGGGGTAGTCCCCCTTCTATTGACTTTAGATCAGTGATTGCTTTTTCCTTGTCGGGGTTTGCATTGGGATTGATGGCATGCTGTCTGTCATTCCTCAACGGGGCTACTGTGGCAAGAGATTAGATAGCTCGAGTTCTTCTGCAAAGTGCTTGTACATGGACATGTTTATAATATTTTGCTAAAAATCTTGCAAAATTGCAAACACATGTGCTATTATTAACAGAAGATATTAAATGAAAATAATAAAAATTAAAATGCGAAAACATATTGTTTTGTTTCTTTTATTTTATTCTGAATAATTTTTTACCAATTTCTATTTATTTCTTAAAAATAATTCTAATTTAAAAAAAACATCGTTTTGCTTTGATTTTTTCTAATAAACGTCAGAAAATGTGGTCTGTCGACAGTCGCTTAATTTTAATTCGTCGCTCTTTTTTTGTGGTTTTCGACATCGGTTCCAATTGTAATTAAGCTGTGTGTTTTCAATTTTTGAAACAAAGCGACATCAATCTACTTTGTTGAATGCTGTCAAGCAACTAAATAAAATATTTGTATTTGTATACATGTAAATTGCCGAAAATCTTCGTATTCAGAACAATACTAGCGCCGATATATAGTGTAGAGTGAGTGTGGCGAACTGGCAGACGAAAGGTTTCAAGTTCAAACCCTTTCTATTTCGACTTTTTATTTTTTAATTTTTTCATAAATTGTTCTATAAATAACTCAACTTATTAGCAGCCAAAAATAAAGTATTTCTTTTGGGTCATCAACAACAAAAATAAGTACTTCTTATAGTAGGAAAGGAAGTAGTCTTTCCTTCGAATCTTACTTACTTTGGGAGTTAAGTTTTTACTGGGAAGTTCCTAAACTCTTTAATAGGGTTGTTTCGAATGCCAGTTTTGAGAAAGCGAATAATAAATTTTATTTTTTAATTTAATAATTTTCAAAAAAAATGAAAATTATAAAATTGCAATATATATTTTGATTATATCGAGTTGTAACAACATTTTTACTTTATAATACATAACTAAAGCTCAGGGAATTTTAAATTGCATTCGCTAAAAGTGTCTACATTTAATTTTTCGTTTTGTTTTCTTAGAAATAGTATTCGCTAAGATTTATTAATAACACAATAAATACAATTTTTTTTTAAGTTGAGATTTAGGACTTTTATTCGAAAATTTTACTTTCTGGTTGGTGTCATGTATGTAGGTAGTACGAAATAAAAAAGGGTCACTAGAACCCAGGATTAGCACCAACATTCAGAGCAAAAGTAAGAATAAATTATACCTATTTTATATAAATACTAATAAATATAAATGCTACAGTATTTTATTTTGTAACAGTTTATTTTTATCTTTAAAACCCGTTTTGTGTGAATAATAAATAAAAAGTCTCGTTAAATACAGTGCTTGTGCAATTCCTTTTGTAAAAATTTTTATATTTATTTGTATAAAATTAAATTACTTAAATTATTAAAAAATATGATCTAATTTTATATTTATATATAAAGCTTTAGCCAGAGGGGAAGTTTCGCTCAATCTATTGGAGCATGAGTTAAATAAACTTAACATGAGCACTGCTAACGAAACTAATAGTGGAGTATTCAATGAAAGATCTCGCTGTGGCACACCTTTAAATGCATCATTGAACATTGTTTCTATACCGACGAGTGGAGGTGTCGTTGCGTCATTACCTCCTCAAGTAGTTCCTGCACAAAAACAAAGTCAAGTTCTAACAAACGAAAATGTTTGTCCAATATTGCCAGATCAACAACAGGCTATTTCTTCGATGCTACGTTCACATCATCATGAAGAATCGACACTACGTAAGTTACAAAAAATATGTTATATGCATATATATTGATTTTTAAATTGTTTATTTTTAATTAATTTCAAGATATGCCAACTCAACGGGAACTTCAAATGCACACTCAAGCCATTATGCAAAATGCCCTATTTAAAAAGAAATTAGAGGTAGAACAACATGAGGCACTAAGAAGACGACAAGAAATTCACAAACAGCAAGAACTTGAATCATCAAATTTCAGTCAGCAACATCAACAGTCATTAAACTCGAATTCCATGATGTCTCAACAAGGGCACCAACAACAACAAACATCAAGGCATGTAAATTCTCCTACACCATTAGCTTTTACACCTACTTCCGTTTTACGCAAAATGACGGCAGAGAAGGATACAATTTCTAATTCTTCACAAGCCACAACCATAACTTCATCATCGCCTCAACAGGTTCAGCCGCATATACAGCAGCCACATTTAAAGATCCATACACATCCTCAGGTAATTAATTTGGCAATCGGCTCATAATTGTTTCATATTTCAATTTAGCAATGTCCGTCCATATAAATCTTATAACCAAACTACAGGTCACAACCTTGAAGATGTTATAATGAAATTTGTTGAGAGATCTTTTATATTAATTAAAACCATTAGAATCATACAATTTTGTAGATAAGGAACGGTTTAGCTAAAATTTAAACGAAATTTGAATTAAAACACAACGATTCTTAAACTTAAAAAAGGTTTTCGGGATATTCGATTTTTTTTTTACATTTTGGACCGGTAAAAGTTTTAAAGCAAGGCGATATCCTCATCGTAATGGAATAAAATAAATATAATTATTGTAAATGTATATAAGTATAACTGCACTATCAAAAAGTCCCCTTTTAGAGAACTCTTTAAGTTTGATTTTATGATTTTAGTCAATATTACAGAAAATAAAAAAAAAACAGTTAAAGAACGAAAAAGTACCAGACAGTGCCTTTTTATAGATTTTCCAGAAACCAGAAACCAAAAAAATCACATACAGATTTTTATACAATCAGGAATCTGCGTGTCCAGTTTTAAAACAGTTAAAGAACGAAAAAGTACCAGACAGTGCCTTTTTATAGATTTTCCAGAAACCAGAAACCAAAAAAATCACATACAGATTTTTATACAATCAGGAATCTGCGTGTCCAGTTTTATGTTTTTACGTTCAATATTATAGAAAATTGGAAAAGAATTAGAAAAAGAACAAAAAAGGATACTGGTACCTTTTTAAATTTTCATTCAATTATGTTTATATATTCAATATTTTAGAAACCTCAAAAAGTACCAGTTGAAGTACGAAGAAGTACCAAAAGACATATTTTATTTAATTTCATGTTCCTAAGTTCAATATTATAGAAAATTAAAAAAGTACCAGTTAAAGAACGAAAAAGTATCAGAAAATATTCCAGTTTTTATTTTCATTCACTCAAGTCTCTGATTGCTTAGTTTTATATTTCTAGGTTCATTATAATAGAAAACTCAAAAAGTACCAGTTGAAGAACGAAAAATTACCAAAGGGCCCCTTTTATATTTCCTCATTAACTCCGGGATCCACATGCTTAATTTCATGTTTCTAGGATCAATATTATAAAAAACACAAAAAGTCCCTTTTGAAGAACGAAAAACTACCAAAAAGTCCTCTTTTATAGATTTTAATTTACTCCGGGCTCTACATGTTTATTTTTATGATTCTGTATTTAATTTTATAAAAAACTCAAAAAGTACCAGTCGTAGTACGATGAAGTACCAAAAAGTCCCCTTTTATAGATTCTTATTTATTCCAGGCTCTAAATGCTTAATTTCATGTTTCTAGGTTCAATATTTGTAGAAAACTCAAAAAGTACCAGTCGAAGAAAGAAAAAGTACCAAAAAGTCCCCTTTTATATATTCTCATTTACTACGTGTTCTACAGGCTTAATTTCATGTTTCTAGGTTCAATATTATAGAACATTCAAAAAGTACCTTTTGAAGAACGAACAAGTAAGAGTGTTATATTCGGCTATGCCGAATCTTATATACCCACCATCAAACCTCGTTTGACTCGAATGAAACTTACTTATGTCGAATTTCATCTATGTATATACTCGTATATTTAGGCCAGTTATAAGCGTTAAAGTAATTTTCTGAAGGGGACCATATATAGGGGGGTAGGGTCAATTATGGGTCGATCCTCATAAAATTTGGTAGATAGAATTTGGTTCGTATTAAATTTATTTGTGTCGAATTTCATCGCTACACTCGTATTTTTAAACCATTAATGAGCGTTGCAGTCATTTTCTGAAGGGGACCTTATATGGGGGGTAGGGTCAATCATGGACCGATCCTCATAAAATTTTTTAGATAGATTTTGACTCGTATGAAACTTACTTATGTCGAATTTCATCTATATACTAGTATTTTTAAGCCAGTAATGAGCGTTAAAGTCATTTTCTGAAGGGGACCTTATATGGGGGATAGGGTCAGTTATGGACCGATCCTCATAAAATTTCGCATATTGATTTTGGATCATAAGAAACTTACTTATGTCGAATTTCATCGCTATATTCGTATTTTTAAACAAGTTATGGCTGTTAAAGCTGCTTTTCGAGGGGCCACTTGTATGGGGGCTATCCGAAAACGTGGACCGATATTGCCCATTTTCAATACCAAACAAACCTTACCTATAAGAAATATTTATGTGAAATTTCAACCCTCTAGCTCTTTCCATTCGGACTCTATCGTGCTTTCAACAGACAGACAGACAGACAGACGGACGGACGGACGGACAGACATGGCTAGATCGTCTTAGAATTTAATGAGGACCCAGAATATATATACTTTTGTGGGTCTATGACCAATATTTCTATGTGTTACAAACGGAATGACAAAATCAATATACCCCCATCTTTTTTGATGGTGGGTATAAAAATTACCAAAAAGTCCACTTTTATAGGTCCTCACTTAATCCCGGCTTACATGTTTAATTTCATGTTTCTAGGTTCAATATTATAGAAAATTCAGAAAGTACCTTTTGAAAAACAAAAAAGTGACAAAAAGTCCCCTTTTTATGTTCTCACTTAATCCTGGCTCTACATGCTTAATTTCACGTTTCTAGATTCAATATTATAGAAAAGTACCTTTTGAAGAACGAAAAATTACCAAAAAGTCCCCTTTTATTGGTACTCACTTAATCCGTGCTCAACATGTTTGATTTCATGTTTCTAGGTTTAATATTATAGAAAATTTAGAAGGTACCTTTTGAAGAACGAAAAAGTGCCAAAAAGTCCCCTTTTTAGGTTCTCATTTAATCCTGGCTCTACATGCTTAATTTCACATTTCTAGGTTCAATATTATACAAAAATTAAAATTTAAGTACCTTTAGAAGAACGAAAGAGTACCAAAAAGTCCCCTTTTATAGATTCTCATTTACTCCGGGCTCTACATACTTTTGTATAACGAAAAAGTACCGAAAAGTCCCTTTATTATTAAATTCTTTTATAGATTCTCATTTACTCCGGGCTCTACATGCTTTTGTAGAACGAAAAAGTACCGAAAAGTCCCTTTATTATTAATTTCATGTTTCGATTTAAATATCATAGAAAACTCAAAAAAGTACTAGTTGGAGAATGAAAAAGTACCAAAAAATATCACTTGGTACCGGTGTTCCAAATAACACCCCATTAGCATATGTAGTGTTCCTAGATATAATAAATTGGATCATTGTGTTTGAATAAAATCAAATTTCCCGTTTTTACCCCTTTTGGTACTTTTTTCCTCCCCATTAACGAAATAAAAATTCTGTTCCAAAAGTTGCAACATCGTATTGGGAGCCCGTTATTATGTATTCATATGTATAAGTTAATAAATCAAAAACAATGTTTTATGAAAAAAGTACCAAAAATATGTAAAATTTTCCCTTAAACGTCCGAATATCCAAAAAGTACTAAGTTCATATTTTTATTTTTTCGTCAAGTTATGAAGGAGTCAAAAATTTTTTTGAATGTTCTTTGGTTTAAAAGATATATGGGGTGCAAAAAAAGTACCAAAATGCAGTTTTTACCCATTTATTCCCTAAAGGGGCCGAATTTTAAAAAAAGTACCAGACACCTGTCCGCTTATTTTTTAAATGAACGACGATACGCTTTAAACTGTTTTTGTATCTTTTATAGTTTATGAGATATGAGGTTACCGAATTTGGTAATTTTTCTTTAATATTTAAAGTTTAATTGTATTTTTATACCCTTCATCTTCGTGAGAAGGGTATATATGAGTTTGTCATTCCGTTTGTAATTTCTATAATATAATTTTCCGACCCATAAAGTACAAATATTCTGGATCCTTATAGGTAGCGGAGTTGATTAAGCTGTGTCCGTCTGTCTGTCCGTCTGTGTGTTTGTTGAAATCAGTTTTTAGAGGACCCCAGATATCGGCGAGATCCGATCTTCAATAATTCTGTTAGACATGCTTTCGAGAAGATGGCTATTTAAAATCAGCAAACTCGGTCAATAAATACCGGAGATATGAGCAAAAATCCGAGACAACCTCTGAAAATTTCATAAAAAAAATAAAATTTTCCCTTAAACGTCCGAATATCCAAAAAGTACTAAGTTCATATTTTTATTTTTTCGTCAAGTTATGAAGGAGTCAAAAATTTTTTTGAATGTTCTTTGGTTTAAAAGATATATGGGGTGCAAAAAAAGTACCAAAATGCAGTTTTTACCCATTTATTCCCTAAAGGGGCCGAATTTTAAAAAAAGTACCAGACACCTGTCCGCTTATTTTTTAAATGAACGACGATACGCTTTAAACTGTTTTTGTATCTTTTATAGTTTAGGAGATATGAGGTTACCGAATTTGGTAATTTTTCTTTAATATTTAAAGTTTAATTGTATTTTTATACCCTTCATCTTCGTGAGAAGGGTATATATGAGTTTGTCATTCCGTTTGTAATTTCTATAATATAATTTTCCGACCCATAAAGTACAAATATTCTGGATCCTTATAGGTAGCGGAGTTGATTAAGCTGTGTCCGTCTGTCTGTCCGTCTGTGTGTTTGTTGAAATCAGTTTTTAGAGGACCCCAGATATCGGCGAGATCCGATCTTCAATAATTCTGTTAGACATGCTTTCGAGAAGATGGCTATTTAAAATCAGCAAACTCGGTCAATAAATACCGGAGATATGAGCAAAAATCCGAGACAACCTCTGAAAATTTCATAAAAAAGAAAATTTTTTTCATGCTTTGATATAAGCAACAACAACAACACTGCTTATTCATTGAGTATTTCGTTTTATATGTTTGGATGACTGTGTGTTTCATTGCCTTGTGTATATTGTTTTTGTTTCTTGGTGCATTCAGTTTCGTATGTTTGTATGTCTGTTGGTTTCATTGCGTTGTGTATTTTGTTTTTGTTTTTTTGGAGTATTTCGTTTCGTATGTTTCATTGCCTTGTGTATATTGTTTTTGTTTCTTGGTGTATTCAGTTTCGT